TATTCTAAAGTTTCGTTTAACGTTTTCTCTTTTCTTCTATTTGGTTAACATTTTTTCTTGGGTTAAGACTTAACAATATGGATGCTTTTTAATTTTTATAAGAGATTTGCATGGATGGGCATTTTTGCTTTTGTTGCAAGGTAAAGAAAATGTTTTATTTTCAGCCTAGAAAACAAAATTAAAAGACCCAAGTTTAGGACCAATAAAAAAGGCCCAACTTTTGGCCCAAACCGTGAAACCGCACAAACCAGACCGTCATTGATTTGAATGAATTGGCTATTGCAATCCCAAAGTTAAGTGATGAGGCGGTTGTTACCAAAGAACCATTGGAAGCAGTAAATTCAGGATCATCTGGCGAAGAGAAGCCCACTTATATCCGTTCTTCCTTATTCGCCAATGACAAGAAGTCACTAGTTGATCTTTTGAAGCAGTACCGTGATTGTTTCACTTGAGACTGTACGGAAATGCCGGGTTTAGATTGAAGCTTGGTAGAACATAGTATCCCTTTGAAAAAGGGTTTCAAGCCATTCAAACAACCGCCAAGGAGGTTTTCAGAAGATGTGGTCAACAAGGTGAAAGAAGAGATTGAACGTTTATTGGCGGTTGACTTTATTGAAGTTGCAGTATATGTTGAATGGTTATCTAATGTGGTCCCCGTTATCAAGAAAAATGGCAAAACCAGGGTCTGCACGGATTTCTGTAACCTTAATATAGCATCTCCCAAGGATGAGTATCAAATGCCGAATGCGGAAACATTGATTGACAGGTTGATGGGTTTTCAAGTCATGAGTTTTGTTGACGGCAACGCTGGATATAACCAAATTTTCATAGCTCCTGCAAATGTTCATAAGACTGCTTTTCGTGCGCCAGGATCCTTAGGCATTTTTTAGTGAAAGGTTATGCCATTTAGATTAAAGAATGCCGGAGCAACGTACCAAAGGGCAATGAACTACATCTTTCATGATCTCATTGGAAAGGTTCTGGAGGTACACATAGATGATGTAGTGATGAAATCAGTACACGTAGATGATGTAGTGATGAAATCAAATTCCTTTGGGGATCACTTACAACATATGCGTCAGTGTTTTGAGCGTATGGGGAAGTATAAACTGAAGTTGAACCCATTGAAGTGCGCATTCGCTGTTTCCTCAGGTTTGTTCTTGGGATTCTTAGTATACTCCAGGGGTATTGAAATTGATGCAGAAAAGGCTAAAGCAATCATTGAAGCTAGGCCTCCAAAGACAGAAAGAGTTACAGAGCTTAATCGGCAAAGTTAATTTCCTTCGCCGATTCATTTCAAACCTGTCGAAGAAGCTGAAACCTTTCTCTCCACTTTTGAAAGTGCAATCTGCAACAGATTTTTTGTTGGGTGACGCGCAGCAGCAAGCTTTTCAGGATATCAAACAAGCTTTATCAACTCCTCCAGTAATGGTTCCACCAACATCGGATAAACCTTTAAAGCTATATTTGTCAGCAACAGAAGAGTCCTTGGGTTGTTTGTTAGCACAAGATGGTCATGACAGATTCGAAAGAGATCTATACTACCTCAACAAAATGCTTATAGACACTGAACGCAGGTATCCACCGATTGAAAAGCTTTGTTTAGCGTTATATTTCGCTGCGACTAAGTTGCGGCATTATATGCTTCCGAGACTAGTCTGTGTTATTAGTAAAATCAATCTTGTCCGTTATATGTTGCATCGACCAATGATGAGTGGCTAGATTGGAAAATGGGTCCTGGCTTTGATGGAATATCAATTTCAACACGTACCGCAATCAGCAGTGAAAGGGCAAGCGTTAGCAGATTTCCTGGCCGCACACCCTTCACTTGACGATGATTGGGATAGCCAGTTCCTTAGTACTTTTCAAGTGCACCAACTAGAAACTCCTATGTGGGTAGTACATTTCGATGGCTCAAGAACTTTTCAATGTAGTGGCGCAGGAATAGTGCTTACACCTCCGTTTGGACCAAAACTGCGATGTCAAGTTTGGTTAAGTTTCAAATCTACACATAATCAAGTTGAGTATGAAGGATTAATTCATGCACTTGAGACGCTTCTATATAATGGAGCAACTCATGCAAAGGTCATTGGAGATTCTGCCTTAGTCGTTGGCCAAATGAAGAAATTAATGGAACGAAGTGATGAAATCATGGCCAAATATGCAGCAGTTGGAGATATGTTAGCTGCCCGATTCCAGCATATTGAGTTTTATAACGTTGAAAGAGAATTCAATGCAGAAGCAAATGATATGGCACAGTTAGCGTCTGGATATCTTAAAGTGCCATTTGGACCAGACATTGCTTACGACACGGTTGATTTCGATACTCCTGCCTATGTCAGATATCCATTGAGTGCAGAATTTTCTGTTGCAACAGTTACTATTGCAGAGGATTGGCGAATGCCAATTATCAGGTTTTTGCAAGACCCGATACACCATACACCGTTATCTATCTGGAGACAGGCGCCCAACTACATGTTGTTGCAAGGGAAGTTGTATCGTAAAATAGCTGATGAAGTATTCCTTTGATGTTTGGGAAAATCAGAGTCCATGGTCTTGATGTGAGAAACACATGAGGGTTTTTGTGGCACCCATCAAGGAGGCAAGAAGATGGCATGGCTACTTCGCCGCCACGGTTATTTTTGGCCAACTATGATTCCGGATTGTATAAATTTCGCCAGAGGGTGTGTAGATTGTCAAAAACATGCTGATGTTCCATATCCACACCCGGAACCAATGCAGTTTATAGTCAAACCATGGTCATTCCGGTGTTGGGCCCTTGATGTTATTGAAATGATTCATCCACCTTCTTCTGCTGGACATCGATATGTTCTAATTGCAACAGATTATTTTACTAAGTGGGTGGAGACAATTCCTTTAAAGGATGTAGATTGGAAGGTCGTTATCAGTTTCATCAAAGGAATTGCCTTCCAATCTATAACGGCCTTCCAATCAGTTTCATCCCTCATTTAAGTACCATTATGGCTCCCTTGACGGATTGTATCCGGGTCAAACAGTTTGTGGGGACTCCCACTGCTGAGGATGCTTTTCAGGAGATTAAGCACCTCTTCGAAAATATCAGTATATTTATTGATATTTAAAAATTCCGTGATCATATATGATGGATTCTCAATTGTACAGGGTAAGTTTTAAGCATTACCTTGGAAATTTCTTTACATTATCTATAAATTCGCCAGATACTATCCTGGTTTTAATTAAAAAAATGGTGCGAGGTGTCGCAATTAAATTTAATGTATGGCCGTCGAACTTGATTTTTATTATTGTTGATGATTTGTATCTTTCAACTTCTTCGTCTTTTCATCCTTCAATCAATTGTTAGGCAGCGGTGTCTGTTATTGGTAGGAAAAAAAAAAAATAAAATGAACGTTTATTAGTGTAATAATAAGGCATCTTATGTGGCTCCGAAATTTCTACTCGTTTTCATTGAGCCTGATTATGGAGTGGAGGGATGACGGGTTAATTAATTGTCGTCCCATTTTATGAAAGGGAAATTCTTGGGAAAACAACAACCGATACTAACCACGTTTAAATTGAGCGCCACACTGTGGTTAACATTTTTCAGAGATTGATGATAATGTTAGTTTATTAATTATTATGGTGACTCTACAGTGGCGGAGCTAGGAATTCATTGTAATAGGTGCGAAAATTTTCAGATAGATCTCTTAATTTTCATTAGTAGAATAATTATCCAATTCGAAAAAGTAAAATGTAACATAAAATTTTTTAATAGACATTTTAATCTTAAGCCCTTTCTCGCCTCTTAATTTTTATTTTTTTTAAAATAACTACCTACGTTTTGAAAATTGAAAATTTTGCATTTGCATATTGTCATCCTTCTGGAAAAATTTAACATAGCAAATACCCTAGTACTTCTAACTTAGTAATACTGGTTAGACAGCATACATCGCCTATTGATTTATAATCATTATCATAATTTAAATGATAAGAAATTAACTTGATTGAAGGGACTTGTTAAAGATATTTAGAATGAACTAGAGAAACTTTTTGCTATCCATTTTGTCTTTTCTTTTTCTTTTTTTTTTCCTCTCTTGCTGCTGGCATGTGATATATATATATATATAGTATCCCGAGCTCTTGGGTCCTTGATGTTTAGTTATATATTTTCTTTTAGATTTTTTTTCCCATTAAAAAAATCTATAGTAGTTTTTAATATTATATTTTGCTTATATTTTTATACTATTAAGAAAAAATTATATTCACGAATAAATGTTTATTTATTTATCAAAAGTAATTTTTAATCTCGTTGCTTATCACAATTAGCATTGGCAGAACTAAAATGTGAACAAAGAAGGACCTCAACATAGTATATTTTGGAAAAGAAAAAAGAAAGTTCTATTTAGAAATTGTGATATTAGTTTTTTCATTTGGGTTTGAATTTACGTGCCATATTTTGTCATTAACATACTTTAAAAGAGAATCCCAATTCAAATACAGTGACTGTCATCTTTTTCTTGGTTATTTACAAATTAAAACAAAAAGAATCATAAAGAATATATTTTTTCATAAATATTTTTATGTTACTTTCTTGTTGACAAAAAAAGTGTAACAAAAGTGTAACATATATTTTGGATTCACAAAAAAAATGTTACGTGCTACATATCATCAAAAAATAATTCGGAGGGGTACGATAATCATATTTTATATACTTTTTCATCACAATTATTCAAAACTCATAAAAAAATTAAAATCGGAGGAGGGGCGGCCGCACCGGCTGGTCCCCCCTTCCCTCGGCCTCTGCCTACAGATGATTCATCGTTCCTATCTTAAGACACCCACGGAGAGCTACTTAGTGATCATTCATGATAACAACGGGCTCATATTTTTGCCTATAAATAACAGAGCAGATTTGGATTTGCAAAAATCATAAGTAGAAAAGCAAAAAAGCAAAAGATTATTAAAATATTCAAAAGAAAAGGAAAGGATAAAAAAGCTAAAAAAAAAAAAAAAAGAGAGATCAAATGGCGAGTGCAGTGCCAAGAAAGTTTGCATTGAAATCACAAAACAATTCAAAGTACCTGTGCTTCAACAGAGACAACACCAACAAACATTTGAACGGATTGCTGAGGTTCTCCGAGGAGGAAATTGAATTCCCATTCAGAACCTTCGAAGTGGAGCCGGCGGGATCAGATTCGAGGCTGGTGCACATCAGGTGCGGCTACAATCACAAATACTGGCGCAGGGAGAAATCCGATGAGCTATGAATTGCGGCGTCGGCGGATGAACCGAACGAGAACCCTTCCGATTGGTCATGCACCTTGTTCGAACCGGTGCTGGTGAACGGAAAAGCTACCAGCGACGGGGTTCGGTTTCGCCATGTCCAAACCCAAAACTACGCCTGCTTGTGGAGAGACGAAGACAATGAGAAGGATGATGCACAACATAGTTCTTGCTTATTCGCGGGATCAAAGGATGCTGATGTCAAAAACTCGTGGGACGTTTTCAGCCTAGTTGATTGGGAGAACGTGGTGATATTGCCCGAAAACGTCACCTTCAAAGGCGACAACGGTTTATACCTGGATGCTGCCCCTCAACAACAGAGTAACTACCTTGAGTTCAGATCCGATGATCCTAGGATTCAAGGTTGTGTCCACGAGGTTTTCCTCACCAACACCGGCACCGTCATCATCAAGTCTACTCAATTTGACAGATTCTGGACAAACGCCCGTAATTGGATAAGGGCGACTAGAGTTTTTAGCTATACTCATCCAAGCCCTCGGCCGATCAATTCCGCCGGTCTTACCAGAAACTTGCTGTTTGAGCCCGTCATGGTTGGGAACAATCAGATTGCTCTCCGCAGCTTGGAGAACGATTTGTTTTGTAAGCGCTTCACCAATGAAGGGAAGGTGAGCTGCCTAGACGCGGGAGTTTCCACCATCACAAGGGAGGCTGCTCTTGAAGTCTCGGAAGCTATTATTTCCAGGGAGATCAGCAATGTCCGCTATCATCTTGGCGACGCGAGGATCTATAATCAAACTCCCCTCGTCAAGGGCGTCTCGTTCGTCGTGAATCGGTCACCGACATCCACCAGCCAGACCGTGAATTTCAGCGTCACCGACACCACCTCCAACACTTGGGAGTCCAGTCTTTCCTTGAAGTTGGGTGTCAGCATGAAATTCAAAGCCGGGATCCCGTTAATCGCGTCGACCACAGTCGAGGTGTCCACTGAGTTTACCGGATCATACACGTGGGGCGAAACTCGGACCACCGAACGGATGCTGTCCAGTTCGGTCACGGTTACGGTTCCTCCAATGTCTAGTGTGAGGGTGAGTATGCTGGCAACTCAGGGTTCTTGTGATGTTCCTTTCTCCTACACTCAGCGCGATGTTCTTGTCAATGGCAGACCCGTCACCTACCAAAAGGACGACGGCCTTTACACTGGCGTCAATTCTTACCAAATCGACTTTGCCACCGATGCGCCACAACCACTCTCTTGAGTGTAAAACTGATGGCATCCAAACACCACCCCCATCACCTCTTATTCATCATCATCTATAATTATCCAATAAATAAAGGTGGTAATGCGATCCATGAACCGTTGCTTTATAGTGTCTGTTTGTGTTTTGTGTGTGCGCGCGTTTTTGTTCCATTTCTGGCCAACCATCTATTTACCTTCACTAGCTAGATGGTCTATTTAAGGATGGTTTGCTTAATTTGTGTAAGTCTTTAAGCATTGGTTATGTACTTCTTTTTCCTTCCTATTCTAATAAAACCGAGATTATATTTACTGAATACATAATGCTGAAATAGAAATACCGAATTGATTAAAATGCTCAACTCTGAATGCTTAATTATGTAATAGTGATTTTTGAAAACAAAATGCTTAATAAACCATTCATTTTTTATGAAAACACCAATCTGGATGCTGAATTGTGTGAATTTACCAATTTATCCTTTTATATATATTTTTAAAGATCTCTTCATTGTAAAATACTTTTATCCAAGGGTTAAAGTATGTTCAATATTATTCATAAAATACATGCTATGAAATTATTCTACATTCTAAAATAGCTCACAAAAATGTATATTGCATTTTTCTTAACATATTGAAAAACGTGAATTTATAAATTATTAAATAATCATATATTCGCAAGTAAATGAAAACAGAATAATGTGTGTATGTGTGTGTGTGTGTGAGAGAGAGAGAGAGTTTAATTTAGAATTTTATGGGCAAAAACGACAAGCCTATTTCATTTAGATATTTATGGTTATGAGTAATGTTGGAATTTAATAATAAATAATTAAAAAAAAAGATGGATGGGAGTAATTAGAAATAAGAATTAAGCTAGATTTTATTGCTTAAAATTTGTATTGTAGTTCAGCAGTCCATAATCTAATAAGTGGATCACTTTTTGATTATCAAACATACTTATTCTAAAAATAATTTAAACCAATAATTTTAAGCAATAATTTAAATTATCAAATAGGCCCTCAGTAACATCATAATAAATGTGTTTTGGATCTATGACTAATCTTATTATAATTCTTCAAACCCAAAATACTACAAATAGATTTTAGGAGCATAAATTTATGCGACAAATCTCATCAATATATATCCACCATATTGTTAATCAGCAGGTATGATGATATGTATAGGAGATATCATGAGGATCCAAATTTTCAATCTATATCTTGTTCAGTTTTTTAATATTTCTTGGACTATAATTGTTATTATACCTTAATTTATTCAAAGAATTTTTATTCAAAGAAATAATTTACTCACTGTACAAACATAAAAGATCGATGATATTGCCATGGCATATTTTAGCCTCCAGAGCCATATTTGTTTTTCCCCCAAAAATTAACCTAAGTCAAGGGCTTTATTTTCCTTCGTTCCAGTTTCTGCCTTGTTAACTTCCGTCTTTTCATGGTACATCTTAGTTGATCCGACATCACACAAGATTAATTTGAACACTAAAATTAGAAATAATTACATCGTCCGAATATAAATCTAAATATTTTCACATTGAAAGAGGGATTCATCCCCAAAGAAGAGTTTATTTACTTAGAAATACAAGCACAAACACAAAGGAATGAATTACAAGTATTGGACATCAATACAAAGCAACAAAATGAGCTAGAGATAGGAGGAACCCATGGTGTTACTATCTGCTTAGACCACTCAGGTGAATGAGGAACTGACTCGCCTCAGTGCTGCAGAACCTAAAAGCTCATTCTACAACTACATCTTCTCTTCTTCCTTTTCACTCTTTGTGCCGTGTAATCTCTCTCCCCTCACTTACCCCCTGACTTTAAGCTCTTGTCTTCCATTAATAGAACTACATCCTCCTCCTTTTGTATTATTGAGCCACTTGCCTCCAAGAATTAGAACCATTTCGAGTATTTTTCCTTGACTGTTTTTTGGTCCAAGCTCTTTATCTTGCTTCTTGGACCACCTCTTAAAGTATACTAATCTCTTCAGTTTCCCCCAAGTTGTGCCTCTTTCCTAGAAGTTTCCAGCATTCCATGTGGCTATTTTTCCAGCCTCTCAAAAATTAGACCACTTCTAGCTTCTAAAATTTGCCCATGGTAGAAATTGTCAACCAAGTCCAATTTTCCATATTTTGGATTTTCCTCGATTTCACCCCATTTTGCAGTTATGTATCACACAAAATATCAAAACTTAATTAGAAATAAATAATTCTTAAATAGATACTAATATTAATTTATACATAGAAAGAGATTATAAAGCCTTGATTTTATCAAGCATAATTAACAGTCATCAAGTATGTAGGTTGAATTTTAAATTATAAAAAGTACTTATCCAAATAGAACATGATCAGTTGGGAAAGTAACTTTTGAGTATTTCAGGGTTAGGTGGAACCTGAACATGTTTGCTTCTTTTCCTATTAATTTAAAAAAAAAATTGGGAAAGTAACTCTTTTAGAAAAAAAAATTAAATTCGGTAAAAATGAACTGATAGTGATCAAATGTAGAAAAGACATTTTAATGATATTATTAATGTATAAAAAGATGACCAGGGTTGGATTTAAATTGAAAAATTTAAAAATAGGTAAAACTGGATTCTATGGAATAATCAATTAGAAGAATAACTAAAAAATGAATAAACTTTTTTGTTTTTGTTTTTCTTTTTTTCTGATTTTTCTTGGGGGTATTTTTTTTTTTTTTTGGGACTGAAAGTATGTAGTGCTAACTCATAATCCATGTACCCTAAAAGAATACATAACATGAAGGACAATAGTTTTGCATCAAATTTATTATACAATTATTAAATATGTTTTTCCCAATATTCTTCTGCTCAATGTGCCTTTTGTTTCATCTAACCGAAGTCTACCAAGGACTAAAACAAGTATACCTAAAGGTTAAAACCACAATGATGTCCTACGAATTTAAACTATAGTTATTTTGCATAATAATGATTTGTTAGATCTCATATCTATCATTTTGTACAGACGGTCACAAGAAAGCAAATACTAAAACAGATAAATTTATGCCAAATCGTCAAATACTCCCTCTGTCCTAGGAAAATACTACGAATTTAAAATTGTAAAATCTTAAAATTGGACTTATGAGATTGGTATGAACTAAAATTTATTATTAAATTGATAAATAGGTATGAAACTTTATTTGATTTTTCATATTATTTTTTTAATTTGCAAGATTAAGTCATCAAATTCTTTTATATTTAATTTTTCAAATTGGACTATTTTTCTGGGACAGAGGTAGTATAAAAACTATGAACTCAATCACTTAAAATTGAAATGGGGATAAATATTAACACTAAGATACCAATCCCTTTCTAATTTGATAGTTTATATATATATATATATATATATATAGAAGCATTTGAATTCTTATAAACAAAAAAAAAGGGTTCTAATTTGGGTTTTATTTAAGAGACAACAAAGTAGTTAATATCAAATATTTGTGATGGCAAGATCTAATCTAGATAAAAAGATTTTAAACTCGAATAATTTTTTTTATATGAAATGTTAACTTGCATGGAATTATAATTTTTCAGGGTGGTGGTGATTGAGTCCATAATATTTCCTAAGCAATAATGAAAAAAAAGAGGATGAATGTTAATCATATATTTAGAATGGGCATAAATAAAGTGTTTTTATTTTTATTTGTAGGAAAGAAGAATTATTTCATCAAAAACTACAGAGAAAGGTTGTACCTCTTAAGGTATTGAGACAAAAAAATTTATTTTTCTCCTCAATTTGTTTTTCATAGGTACATCCATAAAACTCATTCTTCTAAAAACGTTTTTTCTTCCTAAAGAGATTAAAAAGAGGAAGAAAAAGTTCAATGGTATTTTAAAGTTAAAAAACAGATACTCTGTCCATTATTATATTAATTCTAAAATTAATACGTTTGAAAAAAAGATGGAGTTAAGACAAGATAAAGGATTATATGGATAAATAAAATAAATGAATAACTGTGTCATCCCATTTAACTAACAAAGGGCTAGGAATATATGTTATAATCAATTTCTTGCTCCCCGCTCCTCTTTACGTCCCAAACCCTAGAATTGAAGGCTACATTTTCCGGCCATCATGGCCGGAATACCACCATCTGCGGCCGAACACCGCTTCGCAAGCTTTTTTTGCAAAACCTAAGGCTATCAACACTAATGCGGTTGAGCCCAAAACCCTACAAAACCCAAAAAAAGTCACATTTTTTAATGGAACACCGGAATTGAAATATGACGATGACGAATTTGAAGATTTGATTGCTCCACATAAGATGAACCTTGTGGGAAAATTCTCATATGGTCGTCCCAAAATGGAGTTTTTGCGAGATGAGTTTAAGAAGATTGGATTCAAAGGAGGTTATGAACTTGGGCTCATGAATCCAAGGCACGTGTTGATTAGATTTGAATTGGAGGAGGATTATCAACGGTGTTGGATAACATCTCTCTGGCATATTGGTATCTTTCCAATGAGAATCTTAAAGTGGCAGCCGGGATTCAAATTTGAGGAAGACCCCCCAATTGTACCAATATGGGTTTCACTGCATGAACTCCCATTGGAATGGACACATCCATCAGTGCTTTATTCAATTGCCTCCGCGGTTGGCAAGCCCTTGCAAGTGGACGCTCCGACTCTCAATCTGACAAGGCCATCAGTGGCACGGTTTTGTGTGGAAGTGGACCTTTTGAAAGAGTTGCCAAAATCCATTCGCCTAGGGAAGAAAGGGAAGAAGTTTGAGCAGTTTTATACTTATGAATATATACCGGCTTATTGTCAATCCTGCTGCAAGATCGGGCATAAAGTAATTGATTGCAGAAAAGGGAAGGGCAAGATAAACGCGGATCTGCGCAAGGAGGAACAAGCAGGGATGGAAAAGCCGGCTGCGGAAAAGGTTGCGCTATCAGAAAAGGTTTCGGTGGGAAGTAAGAATGGACTTCGATTAAATCAGAAAAAAGTCAAATGGGATTCCAAAAGGAGTGCAAAGAAAGGTGAAATGCAGGTTGAGACTGTTAATGCCAATCCTCAGATCATCAGCGATCCTTCTACTAAAATTACGGAGGCACTGGATGCGGAAACCCTAAATTTGCAGCCTGCAGGTATTAGATTAGTCGATGGGGCTTCTGGCTCTGGTTTAACAGAGAAGGAAAAGGAATCTATTATTGTTGATATTGAAAGTAGTCCGAAACGAGATTAGGGTGGTAAGACTGTGAATGATGTGATTCTCTTTGAAGGAGGTGATAATGCCGTAGTTGATCCAAAGCTTCAGGTTGCGAGCGAATTGCGACTGAGTTCGAAGGCACAAGGGGATTTCGACACTCAGCGTAACTCTGACCAGCCTGAGACTTTGGAAACTATAGTTGTTGACGATCTGCACCTGGGTCATAGTGCGCAAGGGGATGCTGGGTTACAATTGCAAATGTCACAACTCGATCTAGAAGACAGAAATGGACCTCATGTAGCCATTGAGCAAGGGAATAAATTTGCGCTCCTCCAGACTTGTGATGATGATGGTGATGTATCTTGAAATGGTGATGAGGAGGATCCTATTATTGATCTTACGTTGGTTACGGGTAGAGAATCCGTGATTGGTGGTCCTCAAGGATTGAATGGCAAAAACTCAGAAATGGTGGCTGGTCTAGAAATGGAAGCTGTGACAGTTAATGACATTCTGCAACCAGAAATTATTAAGCCATCACTTAAATACCCTGATGATTCGTTTCCAGCAGAAAGTGAAGATGGAAGTGATGCTGCTACTGATAGGGGAACATGGTCAGAAGGGGATAAGGAAAGGCTAACATTGGATACTGAACGTGGGATCAAGACTGGGGTAAAGAAAAAGAAACGCGGTAGGAAAACAAGGGAGCAAATCGCCAAGGAGCTTGAAGGGGCTAAGCTTCAGCGATCACTTCGCTTTCAATAAGTAGTTTTCTTTTCCTTTAAAAATTTCCAATGATTAGTGTCATTTTTTGGAATGTTCGTGGAATAAAAAAACAAGCATCTCAGCGACGCTTGAGGACTCTTATGCAAAGATATCAAGTTGCAATGGTGGTTATTCTGGAGCCAATGCTTCCAGCTAATAAACTTGACGAAATAAGAAGGGAATTGAGACTGGATCATGCATTCTCGTCTAGCACAAGTAAAATCTGGGTAATGACCAGTAGGATGTACACAATAAAATTGATAGAGGATGCTGGACAAGTAATGCATATGGAGGTGTGCCACCTTCCAACACAAAAACATTTTCTTATGTCCTCTGTGTATGCAAGATCGAACAAGGTTGACAGGCGGATTCTCTGGACAAGTATGGAGCTCTTCCGTGCGCGGAATTCAGCATATCCTTGGGTGATTGGTGGGGATTTTAACGTAATAAGAACCATTGAGGAATATTCTGGAAACACGGTTCAAGATATTGGCACAATAGAGGAGTTTAATCAGGCCATTGAATCGGCTGATCTAATTGAAATTTCTTCGGTTGGGGAGGAATTCACATGGGGTGGCACAAGAAATACGGGATGGGTTAGTAAGAAACTGGATCGCATTCTCTTTACTAAGGAATGGCTAGACATGTTTCCAAAACACTCCATTGAGCATCTCAGCCGGACAACTTCAGATCATAATCCCTTGCTACTTCAGTTTGATGTTCAAGTAGCAACTAAGCCTCGTCTATTTCGATTCCAACAAATGTGGTTGCGCAGAACTGAATTTAGGGCTGTGGTGCAAGAAAGTTGGTCGCAACCGCTCCTAGGCAGCGGAATGTTTGCTTTCTCTACTAAGCTGCGTAGGCTTAAGGTGAAACTCAAAGATTGGAATCAAAATCATTTTGGTGATGTTTTCCAGAATTTAAAGAAGGCAGAAGAAAAGGTGAAGGAAATGGAATTTGTTTATGATCGCTCGGGACAAGTTTCGGACAGAATCAATCTTGCGGAGGCAAATGCTTTTCTATTGCAAAAGCTGAAGGAACACGAGGATTTCTGGAGGCAGAAAATGAAACTAAAATGGCTAAAGGAAGGAGACTTAAATACTTCTTTCTTTCATGCTTCACTTGTGGAAAAAACAGTTAGATTGGGAATCCAGAAAATACAAACGGAAAGTGGCAGAAGTTTGACTGAGTTGCTGGATATTGAAAATGAGGCCATCAGATTTTTTAAAAGCCTATTAACCGAAAGTTCCACGTCTCAGAATCAGAATATAAAGCAGGATTTATTTCTTCAGCATTTTCAAAATGAACTTGATGACAATGAGAAGCTTATGCTTATTCGACCTGTTTCATTGGAGGAATTAAAGAAAGCCGTTTTTGGTCTAAGTGAAGAAAGTGCGCCAGGTATGGATGGGTTTGGAGGCTCCTTCTATCGTTCGTGTTGGGATATAATTGCTGAGGATTTGATGAATGCTTGCAATGAATTTATGGCGGGTGTCCCAATTCCGAGAGCTATAGCAAGTACGGTAATCACTTTAATCCCGAAGAAGTCGTCCATTTCCACATTTTCTGACTTCCAGCCTATAAGTCTTTGTAACTTCCTCAATAAAGTTTTTACGAAGATCTTAACCGAGAGATTAAAGATGGTATTGCCTAAGATTATATCGGAGGAGCAATCAGCTTTCCTTGAAGGGCGTGATATCATTGACCACTGGCGTATTCTCTACCAAGTCGGCTTATACCCTAGTGCGGCGGAGACAACCAGTGGACATGCTAGCCAAAAAATTATGGCACAAAATGATACCTCTGAAAGTGTCTTTCTTCTTATGGAAGCTTCAAAATTTTCTCATCCCCTTCCCAGAAATATTGGCTCGATTCGGAATGCAGGTTTGGCCGTCTATATGTGGCTTTTGTAAAATGCATGATGATTCCATTCAACATTGTTTTTATGGCTGCCCTCTAGTATTTCGAGTTTGGAGTCATTATGCACGTCTTTTTGACATTAAGCCACAGAGTAACATGACATTGTTAAATGTTTTAATATATTGGGGGAAAAAAGGTAGTTTCACAACGGCCAGGAAGAGTCTGATTGCTATGCTTCCTTCTTTTATTTTGTGGGAAATCTGGAAATTAAGGAATCAAGTCCTTTTTGATGGTGAAGTTTTTGTGGTTCGAAATGTCTTGCATAAAGTGAATACGGACATTAGACAAGTACTGATGATCCACAAAATAAAGGCGGCATCGGTATTGGAACAAGATTTCATTGACCAAGCATTCGGTATTAAGCTACAGGAGGTTCAAAGGCGTAGTTGTAATGTAGTCCAATGGAAAGCGCAAATGCAACAAGGTTACATCTTGAATACGGATGGTTCTGTTATTGATGGAGAAGCAGGTTATGGTTTTGTAATCAGGAAGCATGATGGGTGTTTTATATATGGAGAATGTGGATATTTAGGCGATGGTGACAGCTTTGGAGCTGAGGTCTTTGGTATTTTATTCGGGGTGCGGAAATGCGATTCCCTAGGGTTGGATCTCGTGGAAATTCAATCTGATAATATGGCTTTGGTATCTATTCTGGGGTCATTACATTCGGTGCCTTGGAAATATTATGCACATATAATGGAAATTCACTCTATCATGGATAGAAGATCATACCGGATATCTCACATTTTCAGGGAAGCTAACTCTGTTGCGGATGGCTTTGCTAGACAGGCGTCTGGCATTTCACAAGTATTTCCTAATGCTATAGGATTACCTAGATATATTAGGGGTCTTGTAATGCTAGATCAAATTTCTTTTCCTTACTTGAGAGTAAGATTAAAATGACAGGCTTGGATGTAATTAGTAAGGGTACGACTATACTCTTCCCTTGCTTTTTGATTTATATATTAATAAATTCAGGGAGGAGTGACTCTAGGGAACTATGTGGTATATATGTCCATCCCATGGGTAGAGCCTTTGGGTGCATTGTATCATATAGCACTGATTAATTTATAAAATCTCCTGGACTGTCCTTGAGAATTTTATAAGTTAATTGGAACCTGAAAATAACTCTAAATCCCTTTTTTTTTTTTAAAAAAAAAAAGAATAACTGTGTCAAAATAACGAATTCACCAATAATATCTTAGTATGAAAATTTTTATGAAAAAGAAAAAAAAATTAATGACATTTTTATGGAAAAATAAATAAAATACCCTCTTTATAACATTATAAATTATAAATATAAAAAATGGATAGAATAAAAACCAAATGACAACAACAACAACAACAACAACAACAACAACAACAACAATAAAAACAACATCAACAAGTTTTTTTCTCATCTTCGTGCTCGATCAGGTGCATAAAACAAAATGAATGATTACTCAAATGACAAATGTTCAAAAAAAAAAAAAAGGTATGAAACGAAAAATGATGAGTAAGTTGAGAATATGAATAAAAGAATTAAGATTGCAAGAGTTAAATTAAAGACGCTCCTATTATTACCTACTTAATTAGAAATCTCTAAAATGGTTAGAGTTAGGAAAAAAATAAATAACTAAATGAAAATGCAAAATAATTAAAAAAAATTAATAAACAGTTAAAACCTTTACACTAGCTGCAATTAATATTATTATACAAATAATATTTAAATTCATAGGGACACTAAATTGAGGAAAAAAATATTAATGATATTTTTGCAATTGAGAAGAAAATTAGCAATTTATACGGGGGACAAGTATTCGACTGGATGATACGATCCTTGAAGATGTTTTAAAACATGCAGTCCCTGGCGGGGACACTATCCATTTTATTTCACCTGAAATAAAGGATAGGAAAGTGGCAGTGAGTTGAATGGATTAACAGAAATGTTGAATGGATTTGTTAATTCTTTCTGAGCGACGTACTTTCGGATTTGCGATGACACTAACCTTGTTTTTCATTTACAACTAGAAATTAACTCTGGTTCATCACCCTTTGCAACTTTGAATAAGGATTTTTTTCAAAATTCGATGTGTTCTCTATCATGAGTTATTCTTTTTGCATCTACTTGTTTCGGAGTGCCTGCCGTCTCAACCACAACTTATCTGATTCTTCTTCTTTGTGCACAGACTCATTAGTATCCTCCACATCTTCTTGTGAAATCTGGAGTTTATTTGTTATCACTGAATCAAAGACAACGAGTTGCTTTTGTTGGTCATTCTTATTTGGATCATCTTCCATTTGAATTTCCCCATCAATCCTTCCGCGAGCAGCTAGTTGTTTTGGACTATTTTCAACCTTTGTATCATCCTGGACATCATCTTTTGCATCATTATTTTCAGCTCCAGTTATGACAGTGCAATGTTTTGCATTAGTGTCATGTCCTTCCGATGTTTCCTGCTCCTTTATGCCAAGTTCCATTCCTACTCTTTTGTTTCCACAGTTGGATTTATTTTTTATGATGATTTATGTATTATTATATTATTTATAACAACAAAAAGAAAATTTTTTTATAACAACCCATATGTTTTATTATCCCAATTAACACAATCAACTCTTTTTCTTTCCTACTAGAGTACATTTTACATTTTTAAACAACATATATTTTGCAACCTGTGCAAAGCACGCAAAGCACGGACCACCCACTAGTTTACTTTTATTATCAAAACCAAGCTGGACCAAAAGAATTTCCCTATAAATTGCAAGCTGATAGCATGAGAGCATTTCCAAAATAAATTAAAATTGTATATACATTTAAAAGAAAAAAAAGAAAAAGAGCTAGCTCGAGGGAATGGTAGCACACTCGAGAGCATTGCCAACACATAATGGATTTCAATCGCAAAGCAATTTCAAGTTGTGTCTCCCTACACCAAGTACTAAATAAGTGGAGCGTGCAAAGAACACGAGGGGATCACTCGTGCACAGAAGATGCTGATAACACAAAAATATATACCCTTTTTGCAGGGATTTCTTACTCATTTCTACTCATAATTTAGTGTTAATTAGTTAGGATTAGTTTACTTTTGGGGTGATTTTACAGTTCAGGTATCTCAGAGGGCCAATGTGGAAAATTAGCATAAATGAGGGCCACATTGCACAAAAAGGCATAAAAAGGGATTGGAATGGAAGCTGCTGGAAGGTTGATCAGAGCTGGAGCAAGTGAAGAAATCCTTGCTGAGGAAGGAAGAATGACACCAGATGATCACAACTTGGAAGAATCTGCAGTAGCACATTCAATTGAGAGGAAGAATGGCAGTTGCTCTGCTGCCAAGTTGCTGCTGCAGTTGTTGTTGCTGCTGTCAGTCACGAAGAGCCAAGGCCAAATTCAAGCTGCCAAAGGAAGGAATTGCTTCACCATCACTGCAAGTTATAGCTGCTGTAAGTTAAAGAAGAGAAAAAGGGAGAATCTGTGAAAAACAACAGCTATAACCTGCTACTTACCTGTTGTGACTGCTACTACTGAATTGATGGATTGGCTGCTGCAGTCATGTGAGAAATGATGTTGCTAGTGATCACAAGAAACGAGGAAGAAAATGGCAGACAGATTTGGGCTGAATTGGAGGCTGAAACACAATGATGGAAGGAAGCATGCTGCTGATGCTGCTACTTGGTACTACTGCTAGTTGGGCTGCTGAGGAATAAAGAATGAAGATATGGAGATCTGTGGCTGCAAATGGTAAGAAGGCGCCAGAGAAGAAGACTGAGAAAAAGCATCAATGATGAGCAGAAGATGGCTGATTGCGGCTGAAGAAGGAAAGAGCTACCCAGAGAAGGCAGCAACTTGCCAATTGGCAAGTTGCTGAATAAACAATTGCCTTTGGCTGCAGCAGTTAGAAAAATAACAGATTGGGTAATTAGATTTAGTCCAAAAGACAGTAGTTAGGTAGTTAGTTAGTAGGTTAGAAACATGGTAGTAGCAGCAACAAGGAGACAGAATGTCACTCTGTCAGGGGGTGAATGCCACTCGCAATAGTGAGCAGGCAGAACTGTCCCTGCTACCATCTTCTCTTTCTTTCCTCTAACCTTTTGATTCAGACTTATGTCTTATCTTTTGTACTTTGTTGCTCTCATTTTTAACTTAATAAGCATGAGTAGCTAACTCAGTTAAGGGTTCAATCCCTACTATCTTTATGTGAAGGTTTTGATTCACTTGCCTTAATAAGGTGTTGTGCCTAGATACGTGATTTATTTATCCTTTTAATTAATTTGGCCACTTAATTAAATGTGTTTTTCATGGTTATGAAGATCTGGAAGGGGGCGCATAACCTTAGAACGGCTTAGTCTAGTCTATGACAATGGAGGAAATCTACCCTACGGTTCCAGACATCAATGGAAGTTAGGTGAATGGCATAGGCAATCATAAAGGGCTTAAGAAGTCAATGGCTTAGATTAAATTTTGTTGACTGGAAGGTCGAGATAATCTAGGACTCTTTATTCTATCTGGAAGGAATTATAAAGATACATAAGTGTCTGATCGAACAACTAATCATACACTACAAGAATATTTGAATCAAAACCGGATCATAAAGGTAGGAAGGTGATTGACCCTTCTGCCTCTTCACTCTGTTAAGTGACTATTCTCACTCTCCCAAGTGACAATCTGTTCAAACTATTTTCTTTCTTTTCTGCACTTTAATCAGATTTTGAGCGGTTGACTGCCGTCTCTGTGGAACGACCCTGCTTACCACTAGCTAATAGTTTTAAGTAGGTTTATAAATTATTCTTTTGGGAAGTGGATCAACGACACTACACAAATCTATCCACCAAAAGTGGTGCCGATTGCCGGGGATGGTGTTAAAAATCCTTGAAGTCTGATTATTGTGTTTTGTTTTTGTTTTTCTTTTTTATTTGTACTTTTGTGATTTGTTTATTGCTTTATTACTGGAAGCAATCCTTTGGGAGAGCTAAGTTTTGACCCAGAAATCAAAGACACGGTGAGGAGATCAAAATCTATGTGAAATAGAGAAGTTGTCGCTCAAGTTCCTAAAGAAAATCAGAAGAAGATGCCAGAGGTAGCAGCAGCTGATCGACCTCAAGAAAGAGAGCTACAACCAGCTCAACCCAGACTGCTTAGAGATTATTTTGTACCCCAAGAGTAGGAAGTTCAAACTCCATTGGTGTACAATGATGTTGCAGCAGAGAACTTTGAGCTAAAAACTCAAATGATTCAATGGGTGCAAGCTGCTTGTCCTTTCTATGGACTTCCTAGTGAAGATCCGAATGAGCAAATCAGGAAATTCCTGAGATTGTACAGCACATTCGAAATTCAAGGTTTGTCCAAAGATAAGATTTACTTGAGACTGTTTCCATTTACATTGCAGGATTTAGCAGTAAAATAGTTGGACACACTACCCAACAATTCAATTAACTCCTGGAATGGACTCAGACAGGCATTCCTTATCAAATTCTTCCCACCTTCAAGGCTGCTGCTTTAAGATCAGTCATCATGACTTTTTAGCAGCATGGGACAGAGACTATTTATGAGGTATGGGAAAAATTTAAGGATCTGATGAGAAAGTGCCCCCAACTCGTTGTAGAGAAGCCAATGTAACTGTATTTTCTATAATGGATTGCAGCAAGCTTCCAGGGAATCACTTGATTCATCATCTGGAGGAGGATTCATGATAAAACATGTGGATGAAGCAATCCAGTTGCTAGAAAATATGTTTGCTAACCATTTAAGATGGCAGAAGGAGCCTAGAGCTATAACCAATAAAGCAAGAGTGTTGGAGCTAGATGCTACAACTCTCTTGCTAGCACAGATGGCGGCCATCACCAGTGAGATATCAAAGCTGAAAGCTGACATCAACAAACCAAAGGTTGAGCTATGTGAAATCTGCACAGGATGTTACTCTAGCTCTGCTTGTCAAGCCGCCATGGAAGAAGTTCAGTTTGTAAGACAAGGAAATGACAGAGGAGGCTTCAACAGTTACAACAACTGGACTAATCAGCAGTCGAACTACCAGAGATCAGCTCAACTACCTGAATTTCAGAATCAACCATTCAGAGTCAAGGATGAAGACTGGATCAAGGTTGGTAATGTTCTTACTAGTCTTGATGTAACTATGAAAGATATGCAAAATCAAGTTGCACAAATGGCAAGAAGGATACTAGACAGACCTGCTGGCACTCTTCCTAGTGATACATTGGAGAATCCCAAAAGAAGGGAAGCACACATCACGGATCAGAAGGCTAAGATGCAGCACAAGGAGGTGTTGCAACTAAAAGAACCAACATAAGGAGCACCAATCAGTCTGGCATGAGACATTAAACCAATGCGCTGCTTGGGAGACAACCCAAGGTAAGTTATTTTGTTCTTCTTAGTTTTGTTTTGAATTATACTTTGCTAATTAATCAATCTGTTTAGTGGTAATCAGAAAGAGTGGTGGCACTCTTATCAGAAATTTTCAGGTGTACTTGTGTGGATATTCAAACATCAACAGAAGTTAGGTGAATGCCATAGGCGATCAAAAAGGGCATAAGAACTCAATGACTTAGATTAATGAATTACTCTGACTGGAAGGTAAGTGATTTAGATCATCTAAGACTCTTTATTCTGTCTAGAAGGAATTATAAAGAATATAAGTGTCTGATTGAACAACTAATCATACACAACATGGTTATTTGAATCAAAACCGGATCATAAAGGTAGGAAGGTAATTGACCCTTCTACCTTTTGACTCTGTCAAGTGACTATTCTCACTCTCTCAAGTGACAATCTGTTCAACTCATTTTCTTTCTTTTCTACACTTTAATCAAATTTTGAGCGGTTGCATGCCGTCTCTGTGGAACGACCCTACTTACCACTAGCTAATAGTTTTAAGTAGATTTATAAATCTTTCTTTTGGAAAGTGGATCAATGACAACACACTCCACCAAGAGCAAAAGATACAAGCTTTCCAAGAACAGCAAACCACTCAGGGGAGTTGGGATGCCACTCGCCTGACTGACTGTCTCTCGTTGAAGACTTATATCACAAATGCCATGTAGCAATCATGGTAATGTTGGTCTCGCTATTCAATTCTCACCACGGGTCATATGGTCGAATTCCAAACTACTCCTTTTAGTTTTTACCCATTATTTTTCCTCTCAAACCAAAACTCAACATATAAAAGAGTTCCAAAAAAAAAAAGAAAACCCAGGTAAAAGGACAGAAAAAACCCAAAAAAAAGCCAGAAAAAGGCCCAATAATAAAAATGGCCAACTTATGGCCCAAAATGAAAAAAGGACCTATTTATGGACCAATAATAAAATACGGCCAATTAGAGGCCCAAACCATCGAACTATCGAAACCAAACCATTCAATATGGTTCGGATTGATCTGGTTTTAAACTTCAATACAGTCCAGTTACAGTTTCACAATTTAAAAACCATAAATTACGGTTTGGTTAGGAGTTAATAGTAATCCGGACCAATCCGGT